AACATAGTTATGGAATATTCTAGTTTGTGATGGATTAAAACACACATTTTAATTTACAGTTGTATAAAATTAATTGTTTTATTTTTTATTGATATGTAGAAAAACATATTGTAAATGAAATTAGATTCAATTCGAAGTTGACAAGATATTCCGGCACGTAACATTAGGTACTATTTATTTACTATAAACAAGTGCACGTAAAAATTTTTTCAATAAGTAGCATATTTGAAATGATTTTAGTTAGATAATTTTAAGTGACAGATTACCACTCTTCTACTAAACGTAATTTTAATTCTTCTTTTGTTCCTATGAACTTAGTCTTATGCGTCTTACAAATATTACGATCCCAATAGTGCCCATAAATCTTCTAGTGGGTTCAAGTCTGGTGATTGCGGAGGAAGGTGTAGTACTTTAGGACAATTATACAATGATTGTATGATTACCAAATTTATAATGCTTTTTATTAAATTTCCCTTTAACATGTTAAAGTATTTATTTTTTTGTAAAATATCATCAATAAAACTAACTCTGCTGCATAATTTGTTGATACACAACCCCAAACCATCAAACTTCCAGCAGCGTGCTCCACCGTCGCTTTGATATTGTTTATTCTTGACTCCTGGCTTGATTTGCGCCATACTAATTTTCGTCCTTTACAATCGGAAAAAAAACCTGATTTTCCTCCGCGAAAATCACATTGTTCCACTACGATTCTTCTTTAGAAATAAATTCTTTGGTACATGTTAAACGCTTTTCACGGTTCGTGGTATTTATAAGTGGCTTTAACGGGCTACTGTACCACCACATTCTACTTTTTAAAGATATTACAATCTATATCCACCTGCACTTTTTTCCACTTTCTTCAAATCACTCTGCAGTTAACGCTGGAGCATTTAATCCTGGATTACTCTGTATTTTTCGTATAATTTTCGTGGACGTCGTTTATGTGGAATAGATTCAATCCGATCTGTTTCAGTACTCCGTGAGTCTTAATTATTCCGTGAATCCCCTTTTATCTGGCGACTACTGATCGCCAGAAACACGGTCACTCACGAAGGACAAGTCCAGCATCTGGACGCATAAAATTAAAGTAATCAGAGGGTTCCATCGGTTGGATCCAGATAATGCAAGAGTGTTTCGCTGCCAACTCGCCTGGAAGCTGCCAACGACACTTCGCCATCTTAAACCACGCGCGTTCCACCCTGAAAGCAGGGCTCGGCCACCATTGGGTCGTGGGGGTATCTCTACGCCGCCTTACTCCTTCAACGTGAAAACCAATTAAAAAATGAAAGGAAGACTCTCTTCGAAAAAACTCACAAAATCAGTTAATACACAATCCTACATAGTAAAGAAAAGTCCAAATTCTCTCGTCGTAATCACTAGCGGACCACAAGTTTAAATTTCAGCGCTAACCTTGCTGACAATATCTCTTACAATATCGGCTCTTATTCGCCGATAACGTTGCAGGCCATAATTCCGGTATACAGAAACATCGTCAGCATTTTAATCGGTATGAGGAAAGTCAAGCTTGAAAATATCTGACCCTACGAACCCAAGTGGCTAAGTTTGAATAAAACAAACGTAATATAATAGTTCACTTGATTTTGAAAATTTGTCTTTAAATCAAAGATTAAGTGGACATTATACAATGCATTTCACTTTACTATTACAGGCGCTACTTATTCTACTGAACGTGTAAAATTAATAACATGAGACACCTTTGATCCAAACATTTTTATTATTACAAATTTTGCAAGGGCAAATAATTTCTTATTACTTCGTGGTACTAAACCCAATAATATAGAAATTTATTTTAAATATAAATTGTTAAAAGTCAAAAGGATTCAAAATTCAAAAAGTGGCGTTGACTGATTTGTCCAATGAGCGACTCATATTATACACTCCGCGACAAAACTATAAGGCACCTGCGATTGTATCTAATATTTTATTAATACTAATTTTTTCGTAAAAATTTTCGTTATTAATCCAAAGAATCAACTAAAGTACATACATTTCCATAGCGACAATGTTATTGAATTTGATTGCAAAGAGTTTTATTAAAATTTCTAATTTTTGATAAAATAAGGCGCGACAAAACTATAAGACAAAGTATATTTTAGGTAAGAAAAAGTGGGAGGAAGTTAATGTAAACAAATTTTTTTTATTTATTAGTAATGTGTTGTGCCATCTTCATTTTTTATAGTTTCAATTAATCGTCGTGGTATCGATTTAGACAAATTTTTTATTCGATCTTCACTTAATTTGGCTCATTCTTCTTCAATACGAGCTTTCAACTCTTCCTACACGTTTTTACACATTTCGCTGTATGCACAGCGGCATTATCATGTTGAAAAATATAATTTTCACATGCCATAGTACTGGCATGTCACGTTAATTGTTCTTCTAATATTTCTGTATATTTAATTGCATTCATACTGGTGTTGATAAATTTTATATCGGTTTTCCCATGGTACCCTATTGCGGCCTATACCATGATGCCGCCTTCGCCCATTTGCCTCCTTGACAAATGCAATTCTCCCTTCCGCAAAGCATGAAAATAATATGAAATACCATTCGGCCCATCTAAATAGAAACGTTTTTCATCTAAAAAGATAACTTTTCTCCATTTTTTTCACTGGAGATGTCTTTCCGTACATTCTTCCCTGGCTGCTTTGTGTCGATTTGTAAGTGGCGGTTTTTTCTGCAATTTTCATCTTTTTAAATGCTTGGCTCGTTTAATTATCCGTTGTACATTACGAATATTGGTGTGAACGTCAGCTTCTGCAATTTGCCGTGCTGTCAAGCTAGAATTCGACGCTACCCCCAGAACGACTCGTCGTTCGCCAGCCAGGATGTTTTTTTTCATAATTCATGAGCACGGCACATCGATTTCACCCAATCACTCTTGAAATTTCTGAAATAGAAGTATTCTTTCCTTTTAAATTTACTATCACTCTTATTTCACCGTCTGCCAGCTTTTTCCTACGCGGCATTGTAGTTATATTATGTAAGAACAAAGTTACAAATTATAAGCGGAAGTTCAGAAAGATGAGGATGATTTTTCTCCAACAGAGATACACTACGCGATGATTATTTAGTTTAATAAAATGACTGGGCTGGTCTTCGACGGAACGCGACTGACGATCGATTTTGGAATACGTGGCAATCGAGAATCGCCTTTTTTTTAAACGTCCTTGTGTCTCCCAATTTTTCGGACGCTATGTATCGACCTCCGACAGAAGAACTATAATATATGCCGCGACATTTTCAGAAATTAACATCTGCGCCTTGAAGTCCCAATTTCCAAGCGCCCAACAAAGGACGCCAAGCTACGCGGAAGAGTCGGCTCTTACAAAATGTTTAATTTTAAGTACACAATTACTTCTAGCATTGTGACTACGATTACAGCCTAAGATCGACTGACGAAAAGCTACTATCTTATAGTTTTGTCGCAAAGACAATAGCATGTTTACATACATTTCCCAATTTCTTTAAATTGTAGCCTTCGATATTTCGTAGAACTGTAGAATATACTCCTATATAATGTAAACGATAACACTATGAATGAAGGAAGCCAAACTCAAGAATTATATAGAATTTTTATTGAATTTTCCACATGCTTATAATTTTGTCGCGGAGTGTATTTAATATATAAGATAGACCGAGGCGAATCGGATTAGTTCTGATTTTACAGTGAAAAATCGATAGTTCAAATTCAAAGAGACAAGATTTTTCATAAATTTACTATTAACATACATCAAACTTCAATATCAGTAAACAGAAATTCTTAAGAACCTAAAAATTTTCGTTTTATAAGTAAAAAACTGAAAAATGAGAAATATCTGATTTTCCCTAAATTCTTGGGCGAATTAGATCATTCAGAGATCTAAAAAAATTTTAATTCTTGTGAATATTTTTTATTTAATTCAAAATTTTACAATTTAATGATAATACAATCAATTACACTGTGCAACAAACTTGAACCTTTTTTGTGTATTGTAATAGCTACTAGGTGATTCTTATAGAGTTTCTTATCGTAAATACGAATCCGAAGACGAAATTGCTTGGTCATGTCCAGTTTTCGAAAACGGAAAGCGATAGGCAGTTAAAATTTGTCGTAAAAAATGGAAGAGAGTTGCTCGAATATGTAGCTATAAAAATTTTGAATATTGCGTGTCATTAAAGCGTTTGTAAATGATCATCAAAATTTAAAAAAGGGTAGATATGCGCGTACTTCGTACGTACTTCTGTTAGATTTCTACGAAAAGTGCGTTGGTTAGCACGAATTTGTTATGCAGCAATGGATTTTGCAGACATTTCTGAAGGCGGAACCCCTCGCAGAAAACATGAGAACGATTTCCCTGTCAGACAAGTTAAGAAACTTTATATATGCATAATCTGCAAACTAATGAATTTCTAACTCTAAAATTTAAAACTTTCTGTTCCTTTAACAAGCAATAACAATACGTAATAAAGACGTTTAAAAAAATTGTGTTTTGAAGTAAAATTTAATCCACTGATTTATTCTTCACTAACTACGCTAGAATTTACTTGTCTTACAATTTTAAAGAGTTTTTAGAGGAAATTTCACTCCTGAATATGGATTTCTTTGGATTTTTATTGCGCGAATGAACAACACTCGTTTTATTTGCCTTCTTTAATATTTTGTTTTTCTTAACAACAGGCAGCAGTGTTACCAACCAATGATACAGTTGGTTTTAGCTTTACCGACTGCAAACATTTCGACAACTCATTTCTCAAAATTTATTCAGTTAATTTTTAAATGTGCAATATTAGTCACTGAATGTGAAATTTCCGTAATGCAAAAATTGTATACTGGTCATTGTCTAGACAATGAAATCCTGATTCTGATGCAATATCTTCGGTAATAAGCAATACAGCGAACGTCAGAGTGAGGTGAACGGTGATTCAAGCACTTTGTTTCAATGACACGACGCAGCACACACTATCTGTCGCGCTTTAAGGCGGTAGAATGTGATAAAAGGACCGTAGTCTGTAAAAGTGATATCAGTATAACATCGGAGCGCGTAGCAGCCGGATCACTGGCATTAATGAGCACACTAAAAGGATCGTACCACCATCTAAGTCTGAACGGTCTAGTGAGTTGACGCCATTATCATGATTGATGTGTGGATAGTGACTGTGGCCCTGCTCGCTGTGGTCGCGGCAGCAGCCTATTACTACCTGAAAAGCGTCTATAGCTTCTTCGACAACACCGGCATTCCAACCGTGCAGTCGCTGCCGGTCTTGGGTAGCCTGTGGAAAGTATTTCTGGGCAAAGACTGTCTCGCCGAAGTAGTTAAACAAACTTACAATGCCCATCCGGAAGCCAAATACGTAGGCTTCTTCGAGTTTCTCACACCGACGATATTGCTCCGAGACCTGGAATTGATAAAGTCCATCACGGTGAAGAATTTTGAACATTTCCAGGATCACCGCCCGAACGGGAATACAATGGAATGGTTGTTCAGTAAAAACTTATTTGCTTTACGCGGAGAACGATGGAAAGAAGTGAGAAATATGCTGACCCCAGCCTTCACGTCGAGTAAGATGAAAGCGATGTACAAATTGATGAACGATTGTGCAGTGCAGTACGGAGAAATTTTGGCTACGATGCCCGTAAAAGAAAGGTCCATGGAGCTGAAGGACACGTTCACCAGATACACGAACGACGTGATCGCCACCTGTGCTTTCGGCGTGACCGTGGATTCGATGTCGAACCGTAACAACACGTTCTATGTGTACGGCAGAAGGGCCACGAATTTAGATACCGGGAAGACGATCAAGTTTTTTCTGTTGCGTACTATACCTCTGCTTCACAGCGTGTTCGGTATAAGAATAGTCAGCAAAGAAATAACAGACTTCTTCCAGGATTTAATTTCGTCTACCATTAAAGCTAGGGACGAGAAGGGCATCGTGCGGCCAGACATGGTCCAGTTAATGATGGAAACTAGAGGAAAACTGGGTCCAGGAAAAGAACTGACGATCCAGGACATGACCGCGCATGCGTTTGTTTTCTTCTTCGGCGGGTTCGACAGCAGCTCGACCCTGATGTGCTTTGCTGCATATGAAGTAGGAGTGAATCCGGAGGTTCAAAAGAGGTTGCAGGAAGAGATCGACGAGGTGCTGGAGAACGGCAAAGGAGAGGTGTCTTATGAGGCGATTAACGACATGAAGTATCTTGAGGCTATTATAAACGAAGCTCTAAGGATGTATCCGGTGACCGCTGCAACAGACAGAACTTGTACGAAACCTTTCGAGCTGCCGCCGACACTGCCAGGAGGCAAACCGTATCTAATGAAAGAGGGTGAGAGCCTTTGGATACCGATCTACGGTTTGCAAGCCGATCCTCAATATTTTGAGGAGCCGATGAAATTCAATCCGGACCGTTTCCTCGACGATCCGAAGAAAATCCTGAATTCCGGAATGTTTTTGAGCTTCGGCTTGGGTCCGAGAATGTGCATCGGCAACAGGTTCGCGCTTCTCGAGACCAAGGTGTTGCTGTTCCACGTGTTCGCTCGCTGCACTCTCAAACCAAATGAACGAACACCTATACCGATGAAGTTGAGCAAGAAAGGGTTCCAAATGACGGCTGAAGGTGGATTTTGGTTCTACGTCGAACCGAGGAAAATCGCCGCCCCCGTACTTGTGAATTGCGCGAGCAATGGCAGTGCTACATATCAACAAATTATTTAAAATAGAACGATCGTGAAAAGCTTTCTTATAACTATTATGAAAATTTATAAAACAATTAAACGTTATATATACATGTAAGAAGTGACCGGGGTTCAGGTCTTTACAGCGCATAGTTACGGCCCTGCATAGCTGTGGCCGGCGAGCGGTGGCCGTATGGCGCGAAAGTTCTGTGCGCGCACTCTTCCCCGACATTTTCTTACCCTGTCCCAAAGAAAAACCGATGTCACGCTTCCCGTGGGGGGTTCCTTTTCAGAAATATCTGCAGAATCTAATGGCACATAGCAAATTCGTTCTAACCAACCCACTTTTCGTAGAAATGTAATAGAAGTGCATACAAAGTACACGCATCTACCCGTTTTTAAACTTCGATCATCATTTACAAACATTTAATGATACGCAAAATTCAAAATTTTTATAGCTACGTATTCGGGCGAGTCTTATTTACTTTCTGCGATAAATTTTAACTACCTATTGTTTTTAGTTTTCGCATAACTCTTGTTTTTCTGAGAAATTGGACCGTTTTTACGAAAACTCAGTTTTTTCAATTTGGTTTTCGGATTCGTATTTAGGGCAAGGAACTCTATAAGAATCACCTAGTGGTTATTGTAAAAAGCAAAATAGGTTAAAATGTGTTCCACAGTGTTATCAGTCTTCCTTCGCCTCATAACTCTTAAAAGTATTGAATAATTTGATTTAATAATAGGTACGTGAACTAAAGTATGAATGAATTGAAATCTGTATGAATGAACGCTTACAATTCGTGTATGAAAATACAAGACAATCTATTTGACAGCCTGATGATTCAAATGGTAATTCAGAGACTACAGATGGTTAAAGAAATTAAAATTTGCTGAATGTCTTCCGCACAGACTGAAATTGAACTGTAACGTAGTTTGTTTTTTAACGATTTTTAAATAATAACATGAAAGTGTAAATTATTTTGAATTTAATTTTGCGCTATTTTTTATTTCAGATTTTATATTTAAATTTTACGTGAATGCACGATTATCCATGGAATACTATTGTAATATTCTTCTGGTTCTTACAATTAAATCTGTAAAATTCTTAGTCTAAGGTAAAGATAGTTTAAACTAAATCCGATTTAGTGCCATGGTGAAGGGAACACCATTTTGCGAGGTTTACTTTAACGAAAAAGAGTGTATTAAATAAAAATAAAAACTATAATATTACTATTTCGCCGATACGTAGATAATAGGGTAGAGTAGGGCTAAAAGTTCGGCAGGTAAGAAGTCCCGAATTGAATATCATTATTTGTTAATCAGTTAACTGAACATTGCATCAAATAATTCAGTCAACGACAGGTATTAGGAAACATTGAAAGCTTTGCTACTCGATTTCAAATATTTTTACGACTTGTACAATGATTGCTTATTTATGTCCAAGAATAAAAAAAGGTACATCACATATTTTTTCTTATTCCCCGTAACTTATTGCATAACAACGAATTAAGTAAGTGTTTCTGGTTTGTATATTTCTTTAGCAAAATGTGGATGCTTTGATTTATTTCTGGATGATAATTGTTTTCAATACAGGTATATATCGAAAAAGCTATGGAGATACCATGGGGGTAAAAAGTCCCTTATTGAATTTTATTACCCCGCATAGAGATTTATCGTTTCTTTTTTTGTAATTTATTGATTAGAGTGCTGCACTATAACATAACGAAATACGTGGAAAAGGGGGCAATACAGAACAGAATGAAATTGAGTAAATTAGCTAAAGAATAAATGTTATTACTAAATTATAGAACCACTTGTACATAAAATGAAACTTTTATCCGCACCCTACCTTATATAGGGTGATATCTTTAACATAACGCACGATTTTTCACCCACTTGCAGCAATCTAACGAAAAAAAGATTCAGACAAAATTTACAGGCTATGAAGTGTAGATTAGATATCAGATATTAGAGATCACCGAATGTTAACACATCGAATGTAAAATCCGTTTAACATTTGGGAGACTAACAATCAAACAAGAATATGTATTTAAATATAATTTATGTTAACAATTTCTTGCAATTTTTACTCAATTATTATCCTTGTATCTTCTTTCTTCCCATTAAAAGTAATTAATGTATGGTATGGTATTTTAAATGACCGTCTAATTGGGCCACATTTTTACAAAGAGAATTTAAAATCACAAAAATATTTACAGTTTTTGCGTGAAAAACTTCCGCAATTAATGGAAGATATTCCCAACTACATAAAAAGAGAAATGTACTATCAAGAAGCTGATTGTCCGGCACATAATTCACGAGTATTTGCAAATTATCTAAATGCTACATTTCAAAATCGCGGTATCAGCACGTGTGAGCCAATACGATGACCAGCACGTTCCCCGGACTTATCTCCACTTAATTTTTTTTATGAGGATATTTACAATCCATTGTACATCAATCGGCAATTAATAATATTAAAGAATGCATTCGAACATGTAATTAAATAAAGAGCATTTTTCTTATGTTCTAGTCGCGTGTTTACATTCGGTGGCCTCTTCAGTGTCAAACAATGTTTACAACATCTTCAGGTCAAATGCGACGGGAAGCTAAATATTTCACATTTCCACTACATTAAATCGATTAATATGTTAGTAAAAATATCAGGTAATATGTGTTTTGAATTCGTCTCGATGTCCTCTACAATATGACAAAAAAAATGTGTGTTCCTGTTTGTAAAACTTAAGGTGACCTTGATTTCGACATGAAAACAAACTGTTCTCGAAATTTTTTTTACTGATATCTATTCTACAGCCCACACCCTGCAAATCTTGTCTAAAACTTTTTTTCGTCAGATTGCTGCAAGTAGGTGAAAAATCGTTCATCGCGTTAGAGGTAACACCCTGTAAAGTCGCTCGTTCACTAACGCTGCCAGAATCGTTCTACCGCGAAACATCCATGCACTTTTATCTCTCACCCATATTCGCACGTTTTTTTCTTCTTACTCGTATCCCTCTCGCTTGCACTCTGACCCTTGCATCCGTAATCAAAACCCACACGATCATGTAAGTCAGGGTTATTCAACAGGTCTTCTCGCGGGACAGAATCAGTGTCGCTGTGATACGTAGTTTAGAATTGTATTTCAACAGCTGGTGTAGGTTAGTTTCATCGATGATATTTTAAATAAAAACGAATACTTCAACATTGTGATGGAAAACGTAATACAAAGTGTTATAAATATGGGTATTCGTGACAGTTTTAATTTTTATCGGACAATGACCCGAAACATAAGGCAAAAGTAATGTAAGAACATTTACTGTAAAATTGTCCGAAAGTGCTACACCCTCCTTCGCAATTACCGGATTTGAACCCAATAGGGAAGTTATTGGCCCTATTGGGACCGTAACATTCGGAAGACACACAAAAGTAAGTTCATAAGAATAAAAGAAGAATTAAAATTACGTTTAGTAGAAGAAAGGTCATTTGTCACTCAAAATTATTTAACAAAAATTATTTAAAATATACCATCACGTATGCAACATGTAGTGAGACGTTTGGAACATTGAACAAAGTATTACAATTATTGTAATTTGATTTAAATGTACATAGTAAATATTAAATAGGTACATAAATGTTATTTAATGTTACATGTCCGAATATCTTTCCAATCTCGGAATTCTATCTAATTTCATTTAAAATATATTTTTCTATATAACAGCAAAGAATAAAATAATTAATTTCATACATCTGTAGATCAGAATATGTACGTTAACCCGTCGCATATCAAAAAATTCCACATATTAAGAATAGAATTGTGGACTTGACTCTGTGGGTAAAACTGTAATCCATTAAAACGAAAAACGGATCTCCATGATATTTATAAATCAAATTAATGTACCTATATAGTTCTCATTACGTCCCGAGCGTCTGTACCATAAAAACGTCGTCTTTACCTACTGTCTTAATTTAAATAAAAACTGATTTACTATTCTATTATAAAACCAATAACATAACTATTTTTCAGGTAAATAAGTAATGTGAGAAGCGTATAGTATATAAAGCAGGATTGTTCAGCAGGTCTTCTCGCGGGCTAAAATCAGTGTCAGTACAACTGCGGTCAGAAATGGGAGCATAGCATCAGCAAATCTGTTGCTCGCGGCTACATAAGCGTAGCACACGAACGCATAGATTTGACCTGCGCGAATTTGGTCAACAGTACTTAACCGTTTGAGTCCCACGCATCGCTTTCGCGTTCTTCAGATTTCATGTCGAAAAAGCTCAGCGCATTTGAACGATACGAGCAACTGACGGGGCACTTACAATCTGGCGAAGCGCGCACAACTTTTCAGATGCATGTACGTTGCATCGCTACTTTTTTTGTATATAAGTAATCCAAGTAATACATTTTGTATTTCATTGTTACCTATTATAAATTAATATATATTTATAATAGTATTAACACAGATTAAGACACGCGCTGTCGTGCTGTTTAGCTTTTCTCGATATGAAATAAAAGGAGTGTTATCTCACTGCTTGCACCTTTTTGTATCCCATTCAGAAGGCGCTATTGCGCTGTTCGGCTTTTTCGACTGTGTTTTTTTTTAAAACCTCTCGTACTGAAACGGTTAAGTACAATGCATTACATACCGATGTGAGCCAAGCCGGCCCAGTAGTTCAAAAGTGAAGAGGGGTACGACCAGTAACAAAGACGTGCCTAAACTAATTCCGCCATTACTATCGGGCCGAGTGCCACGAATAGACATTCTCCCCTTGCCCCTCTTCACTTTGAAGCCAAAGGTCAGCTTGGCTTACGTCAGTAAAGTACTGTATTTACTATCCTCTGACAACATTTGGTAACTTGTCCATCGAATCGAAGAGGCAAGTGCGGCAAAGAGTCACGTCCAGTCGTGATGAACGTTAACGCCTCGGTTTCGGTTGCATTTGTTATTGATTTATTTGCGTAAGCGAAGATCGCAAATGAAGCCGAATCGACAAAGTCAGATAGAAATAAGAAGTGGACGACCATATTCATTCCCTATTACTGTATCTCAATTTGTCGTATTCTGTTTCATTTGCATTCTTTGTTACACTTCTCTTCAGTACAGTCTGGCAAAGTCAGACAACGAGAATAATGAAAAGAAGCGAGATAGACACAGTCCACGGAGCATTGAGGTTCGAGACGCGGGACTTCAAAGTGATGCCGCACGCATCAAATATAAACATGCAATAAGGGAAATATCAATTTCATTATTTTCAGTTTTACTTTCTCAAACATACTGCCAGTGGGTTGTTGTGATTGTTGTGATTAAAATAAGACCAAACACAATATAAATCAGACTAGTTTCACCTACTTAATGTAATTAACAAAATTAAAGGTTCATTTCCTTAAAATCGATAAAACTTGTCCGATTCATATCGTGATTGCACTTATTTTAATCATAATAATCACAACAATCCATTGCTAGTATATTGGCTTATCTTTAGCCCTCAAGATCCTATATTTATGTTATTACATATATAGTAATCTTCATCTTTCATTTTTTATTAGTCTTCATCTTTCTCTTCATAGTGCCCCTCTTCGACCTGGACTTTAACTTATCTCATTGTTTTTCAAAAAGTATTATTTTATTGACAGGTGAAGTCACATGTATGATTGATTTTTAGTTATTTGATAAGAACGTCTTTTTTGTAGGCTTCTACGAAGTATTCGGTAAATTACCACAGCTTGATATATTGTCAATTTACAACGAAGCTATACAGCGAGCGTTAGAGTGGGGTGAACGGTGATTCAAACACTTTGTTTCAATGACATGACGCAGTACTCACTATCTGTCGCGCTTTAACGCGATAAAATATGATAAAGGGACCGTAGTCTGTAAGAGTGATACCAGTATAACATCGGAGCGCGTAGCAGCCGGATCACCGGCATTAACGAGCTCACTAAAAGGATCGTGGCCCATCTTACATTAACACCATCTAAGTCTGAACGGTCTACTGAGTTGACGCCATTGTCATGATGGATGTGTGGATAGTGACTGCGGCCCTGCTCGCTGTGGTCGCGGCAGCAGCCTATTACTACCTGAAAAGCGTCTATAGCTTCTTCGACAACACCGGCATTCCAACCGTGCAATCGTTGCCGGTCTTGGGTAGCCTGTGGAAAGTATTCCTGGAAAAAGACAACATCGCCGAAGTAGTTAAACAAACTTACAATGCCCATCCAGAAGCCAAATACGTAGGCTTCTATGAGTTTCTCACGCCGACGATATTGCTCCGAGACCTGGAATTGATAAAGTCCATCACGGTGAAGAATTTTGAACATTTCCAGGATCACCGCTCGAACGGGAATACAATGGAATGGTTGTTCACTAAAAACTTATTTGCTTTAAGCGGAGAACGATGGAAAGAAGTGAGAAATATGCTGACCCCAGCCTTCACGTCGAGTAAGATGAAAGCGATGTACAAATTGATGAACGATTGTGCAGTGCGGTACGGAGAAATTTTGGCTACGATGCCCGTAAAAGAAAGGTCCATGGAGCTGAAGGACACGTTCGCCAGATACACTAACGACGTGATCGCCACCTGTGCATTCGGAGTGACCGTGGATTCGATGTCTGATCGTAACAACAAATTCTACGTGTACGGCAGAAGGGCCACGAATTTCGATACCTGGCAGACGACTAAGTTTTTTTTGTTGCGTAGTATACCTCTGCTTCACAGCGTGTTCGGTATGAGAGTAATCAGCAAAGAAATAACAGACTTCTTCCAGGATTTGATTTCGTCTACCATTAAAACTAGGGATGAGCAGGGCATCGTGCGGCCGGACATGATTCAGTTAATGATGGAAACTAGAGGAAAATTGGGTCCAGGCAAAGAACTGACGATCGAGGACATGACCGCGCAAGGGTTTCTTTTCTTCTTCGGCGGGTTCGAGAGCACCTCGACCCTGATGTGCTTTGCCGCATATGAAGTAGGAGTGAATCCGGAGGTTCAAAAGAGATTACAGGAAGAGATCGACGAGGTACTAGAGAACGGCAAAGGAGAGGTGTCTTATGAGGCGATTAACAACATGAAGTATCTTGAGGCTATTATAAACGAAGCTCTAAGGATGTATCCGGTGACCGTTGTAGCAGACAGAGCTTGTACGAAACCTTTCGAGCTGCCGCCGGCACTGCCAGGAGGCAAACCGTATCTAATGAAGGAGAATGAATATCTTTGGATACCAATCTACGGGGTGCAATTCGATCCTCAGTACTTTGAGGAACCGATGAAATTCAATCCGGACCGTTTCCTCGACGATCCGAAGAAAATCCTGAATTCCGGAACGTTTTTGACCTTCGGCTTGGGTCCGAGAATGTGCATCGGCAACAGGTTCGCGCTTCTTGAAGCCAAGGTGTTGCTGTTCCACGTGTTCGCTCGCTGCACCCTCAAACCAAATGAACGAACACCTATACCGATGAAGTTGAGCAAGAAAGGGTTCCAACTGACGGTTGATGATGGATTTTGGTTCGACGTCGTGCCGAGGAAAATCGGCACCCCCGTACTTGTGAATTGCATGAGCAATGGCAGTGCTGCATATTAACTTTAACTTTGAAATGTATTTGTGGAGTAAAATTTTCTATTTTGGTAATATATTTCTTTACAGTAGCTTGATGTTCAAAGGAGCGCCTAGATGGTGTTATTCATGGGTAGGAAGGAATATAAATCAGACGAGGTATTAATGAATATACTTCTGAAGTGCATTACCCAACTGAAGACATTCACGTCTGACACTTTATCTACTGAAGGATTACTTTTACTAATCATTTTCCTTCGAATGTTAAGTCTAAGAAAAATATTAGTTTACATAAAGAAGAGTTATTAGTTCATGTTTATAATGCAATTGGTATTGGCAGTTCTATTGAGAAATCCTTTACTGTTATTTATAGATTTTAAAAAACTGTTGAATAGCCATGAGAATAACCGTGATCATAAAATTAAACGTCCGGTATTCAAAATACTTGTATCTTTTTTTTCTTTAGTACTATAATTCATGCACTGCATATGGTGGCGTATCCGGGAATTCCAAAAAATCCCGTTTTTTGTGCTGTTTTAAAAGGTACTGCAATAAACTAAAACTACATTGTCCTACACCTGTTTGCTGTAATAAATACAACTGTTCGAAATTGTAAACCTGAACGCGCAATTTACGTGTCATAATCCGACAAGCAGTAAACCCTTAAATAAAGTCTAAACAGCATATGCAGAGTGTTTCTATATTATTGCGCAAAATAATAGAGCGTGCACAACTCACTAAATTGAGTAAAAACACCCCAATAAAAATAAAAGTAGGTTTAATTTAAAAAGAATGTATGGGGACCGAATGAAGAACGCTGATTTATTTTGAAAAGAATCAGTGATACGAACAAATGTGTCAAAAGAATGGTTCTATTTACAAATTTTAACGATCTCACCAGGACGTTTCAAGGTAACGTCGCGATCAAAGACCTCCCGCCGTGACAAATACTATTGCATACTCAGTAACTTTAATTTGACACATTTGTTCGTATCACTGATACTTTTCGAGATAATTCGGTGTTCTTGATTTGGTCCCCACACACTCTTTCTTTACATTAAACCTACTTTTATCTTGGAAACCATTTTTGAGCTCTGGACCCACGTTTACTGGTTCTTTTTTACTCAGTTTAGTGAGTTATACACGCCCTATCATTTGTGCTCAATAGTTTAGAAACATACTGTACATAAGAATCACGTCATTCTTACGGTTCTGTCAATTAGTTCCGAATACTCTTCATTCTCATTGCATCAGCGACTCAAGATTTCCTAAGGTGTAAGTCATCCTATAGGCGAGAACACACGTGGTACTAACTCGCATAAAAGCATACCAGGAGCTAACCAGTGATACCTACCAGCACGTTTATACGTTAAAAAAAAAACGTGCTTCGAATAAGAATATGAGGAAATCGTACGGCATTCGATGTTTGGCGTGCTAATGGCACACGGTACGAGGCGGGGATAGGGAACGGTACAAAACAAAGCTAAACTGAAAACGTTCGTAACGTGACGTAAAAGATTGAGATATATCATTTAAGCATCTTTGCTTTTCACTTTATTCTGTTTAAAATAAACATGAACTACTATTTTTATTATTTTTAACTTAATTAGTTTAGTTTCCTTAGATTAACATTACTCCGCAAACTAAATCTGTGGTAATTACGAATTATAAATTGCAATTAATTGATGTACGCATACACTGTGTCTATTATTCAGTTATAAAATTCATACTTACATCTCTAGCAGCTGATACTACGGGCAGGGGTTATATAATATTATCAGTATGATAAACATCGTTTCTGACACAGCGATAACAATAATAATAAAAACGATGAATTATGGCATTGCGTGTATCAGAACTTTGAATCAATGTTAGATAATTTTAGAAGTATTACATTTTTGTTTAATTTGAATGGAAGTTTATATTAATTACGTATTTACTGCGTATGTATCATAACTACGTTGACCATATGCAATAAAAGGTACATAAGGATGAAAAAGTGACATTATTAATTATTAACGTAACATATTATTATAGTATGGGTTTTATTTTGGATCAACACAAAACTGTATTAAAATTAGTAAACATAATGTGTGAATTATGCAAACGTTTATTTATTTAAATACCTGTGACTTGTAAGAGAGATTTGAGAAAAGATGATTTGTGAACAGATTTTTTAATGTTGCCTATAAATTAAACAAGAAATTAATAAACAACAATTTCCTTTCATTCTTGATTTTTGTTATATTTTCCTAATTAGAATTACCAACATTTTTCTAAAATTTAATAACATCACTTCATAATTCCTTTTTTTTATATTAGTATGAACGTTCCAGCTGTTCCTTTTAATACTTATCCGTTTGTGACTAAAGTAATTCTTTGTTTTAAATTATTCGAGCATCTTGAAATAATATTTTGAATTCCTTCCAAACATAGCAAATACGAAACGTGCAACAAGCCAAAATTGAAACGAAGAACAAGTAAAAATTGAAACGAAGAACAAGAAAAAATTACTTGGTAATTTATTAATTTACACAAACGTTTATTAATGTAACAAAGTTTCGGAAGACAGGTTTTATACAAAAAACAAAGCAAAAAGAAACAATTTTGGTACTTCAACAACATAGTTCCATCTGAAATATTAGAAAAGAAGTATAATAGGATAAGGTTACTTAAGTCATACCGCGACTTCGAATCTCTTAAATTTTCAATTTAATACCACAGCAATAGCGCATCTGATAAAACGAAGATGTACATTAGCACGAACAATATTTGTTCGGGTAGTCAGATGTAATTACCGACGGCTTAATGACATAGCCTCCCGACGAGTAGGTTTGATATTGTTTTCTCATAATTTTTGGTATATATTTGTAAGACTCTAGAGCAAAATATTATTAATAAATTCTTGTTCCTTTTAAAGTATTCATTCTGTAGCATTTAAACAATTGTTTTCTCGAAATTATATCGTACGAGCTTCATTTAACGTTTTATCGTGTTTATTTGATATTTAATACGTGCTGGACCTTAATAATATTAAGATTGGACGTGTGCGGTTCGCCTAGTGTGTCGTATATTTACCCGATTGTTCGGGCCGGGCCGGAAAGATTCGAGCAGGCTCGAGCAGGCGCTCTTGACGCCTACAATTCTCCGACAGTCGACAGAGTACGGACAGATTTTACGTCATCAACCGGTTTTGACGGCTGACAGCGTAGCTACTACAGTGAAAAGAGTGCGTACAGCTGTGTACATATGTATGACGCAGACCGTTAATTGGCTAATGATTTAGTGGTATATTCGTACGGTACGGTTTTGGTCTGCCAGAGTGTTCAGCGTCACGATCGTCCACCCGAGTGTTATGATGTACGTTGATAAATAATAAGAATAAAAGAATGCCGTGGGGGTTACCGGTGACGACCTCCAACCAGAACGAATTACTATAGTTCACTTAACTAAACGACAATTATTTGAAAACATTTGTATATTACAAATAATGCTACCTAATGCGGTGACATTCAGCTAGATAAACGCGCAATAATAATAATACGAATCAATCAAATGGTTTAATATTATATTTTTTCCATTTTGTGTATTTTACTCTATGAAATCGTGCACCATTAAACGTGTTAACTTTGTTAGAAGTATACGTGTATCTATCTATTCAATGTAACGCTTCGGAAGTAATTCCAGGATAGTTGAGAAGTAATTACGATGTAGTGATTGCCTTGCTCTTTGGCGAGTGATTCGTGGTTACTCGACGTATGCAGTAATACGCTTACCTCTACAAAGCTCTCAACTTGAGAAAGAAGAAGTACAAAATAGGTTTTCAAAATGACTACTGTCTTGGGTATTTCGATCGAGCTTATATATAGGGGAAAGTGAGGTAGAGTGGGGATCTCAGGGGTGTTACAAGAGCCCGCCCTAATCTTTCCAACCCAACTCGAAAACAATCCCAAAGTCAATATAACTACTGGGAATTACTTGACTGTCAAGCAATTCATAATTAAATGTAAGATAATCTTAGTGAAGGAAAAGTCGAACGCTGGTTGTCTGCGTTTCGTCAATCAGGGTCTTCTTAAGGGAAATGTTACGGAAAACCTACGCTGATAAGAAGGATCCTGTGATTAAACAGTGCCCTTCTCAAGGCATTCTTCCTGTAATATTCAAACCCAGTTTGTACCATTTTATTATTCAGCCCATAAAATCCTATCTTACACAGAAGTAAACAGGTAAGGAAAATAACACATCAATTGATTAAAAATAAAATAGATGTATCAAGAATTAGAATTTCTGAATTTCCTATTAAGTCCTTGGTTGTTTGCCTGATAAATTTAGAGATGGCCGATTAAGAAGAGAAACACACAGATAACTTAAACTTTAATTCTGAAATAAGTAGAGAACAACGACTTTAACACGGGCATTTATTGTACAGTTTATTCTATTGTTCCTGGGGAAGTTGATATTCGTTCATTTAGGATTCATATTCGTGTAATTGGATCAACGAAAACCGATTAAAACATTTACCAAATAATGTTTATAAAATTCAATCTGCGTTAAATTGATGCGTTCGGTAAACCTAGTGTTAATTCAATGACAGAATCTCAAGAGACAGAAACTCAATTTGTGCATAAGTGATTTTAATTTTGGCGAGATTAGTGTATTTAACGTGTTTCTGTTTATCGTATTTAATACGTTTATCATGCAGATTAGTCCTTTTGCCTGTTATTGCTAATACTTTAACAAAACGCGACAAATTCTGGCTCAAACCACTACACGGACCATTCCACCACGCATCTCGCGATTGTACGTCGCTTAACAATCGTACGATTGTAGTTTCGCAGCTTCGACATCTCGAAGAAAGCTAAGGTGGACTTGCTTAAAAAATTGTTTATATTACATTTCAGTCGCCCAACGAATTGCGCTGCGAGTTCGAGGCGTCGTGGACCGTGATTCATTTGTTTGATCGTTGGTAGGGCTTAAATGTGTTTCTCTCCTTTGCTAATTATTTCTTTCGCTTCTTGTTCCTTGAATTCCTTCCTTACTCCCTCAATCAGACTATCGATCAATAAGCACAGCGTGAGAACGCTCGCGGTGTTAAGTGTTTCATTACACACTGCAACATGCGGCGGCGCAAGTGACGTATAATTACAGATTTGCCCGTTTTAGCCGGCCAAAATCAAAGACACTTAGGTATTGAATGTTTTCGGCAAAATATAATTATAATATATGTGGGTAATGTAGAATGTGTGTGTACAATAGACAAAAGTATGGATAATAGATGAATGACGACGGTATGCATGTGTATGAGTGTTCATGGCATTTGGAATATTCGAGAATATATTGATTTTTACTTAATATTGATTTTTCTACGTTCAACCTAAGGAAACTGGAATATTCCAAATGTACATGAAGTTAGCGCATGGTAACGAAAGAACGTTCTGGAAGGTGTGCGAATAAGATGAAAGATGCGAGTATAAATGGAGAGTGTGATTGAACTTGAGAGGGTGTGTACATATATACACCGTGTCCCGCGACTCATGGTCAATCAATTAGGAGGTCATTCTACATGTAAAAATGAGTCGAAAAAATGGAACAAAATTTTCTCCTGCGAGTCTTCGTTTTCGAGAAAATCGAAGTCGAAAATTTACTCGGTACTTGTACACTCGGTGCATGTCGACTTTGTGCATCTCACTGTACACTCTTGTTTTGACTCTTACTTGTAGCCCCTCTTTCTTTTGCATTTCGTGCCACAATCTTTGCCGTATAGGTATATCTGATGGCTCTGATATTTCTTCATCAAGTGTCATTCTAAATTCAGATACCTTGATTTTTTTTATTGCTAATTTATATAGTACTAGCGCATTTGTAATCGATGCATTCAATAATAATTCTAAAGCTAATTTTAAGTACCATTTGGTCAAATCCATAGGACAATGGACAAATCTATAGCACATTTTCCTATATTATAATCTAAAACTACTGTTGATATTTCACGGGTATCATTATTTTTGCGCACAATTACCGTTTCTGCCGAATATTTTGTCGAGGTCATAAAAATATCGCGTTTGTCTTTCCACTTGAGGACCATAATCCCCTTCTTGTTTTGCACTGCGATTAGCTCGCCGCATTTTAATTTTTTAAATTTAACTTCTATAGGTATTCCTTTTCTATTTTTTCTTATAGTTCCTACCAAATGGGTGTTACAATCAATTCATTTTTCGACTAAATTTATACTCCTATACCAATTATCTGCGTAAATTGCGTGGGCCCCTATAGAGAATATTGTTACACATACTCGTTACAGCACTTGTGGGTGATAACATGGTGTGTTTGATTTTGTCCAGAATATATTTCAAATTAGTATGCATATCCTTGGTCAGAACACGGTTTGAATACTTTAATGCCGTATTTATGACGTTCCTGTTTTAAAAATTGTCTAAACATTATGTGTCCTCGGAATGGTACTAACGACTTATCGATACATACATTTAGGTCGTAGTATTCATAAAATTTTTGATTTAGTGCATCACAAGCTTTCTTACCTTATGCAGCCTATCATTTCTGTTTGCTGTCTGGTTATCAGTAAAATGAAGAAATCGTAAAAGCAATTCGATCCGATTTCTGGACATAACTTTTTTTGGAAAGGATTAGCAGTAGGCGTTATTAAACTGAAAAATAATTTCACCAGGTCCATCCATATTAGTAGTCAGAAAAATCGTTTTATCTCTTTTTTATTGGTTGGTATCTATTTATCCAAACGAGTCGAGCTTCTGTATTTCATGTACTGTACAGCATATGTATTCGTCTCAACAACAATTATTTGTAGAATCTCTTGCGTAACAAAAGCAAAGTAAAAATCTTGTGGCTGATTACCCTCGGCCAGTACAGCAGTTCTGGATTTAACAAATGGAATTACACTTGCTACAGTTTGTATTACATTTGACCACTCGTTATTGTCTATATTGTTACTGTAGGATATTCACATGTACACAATTTATGGTGGTCCGCCGCGCCCGCGACCGGCGCGTGTTTCATTTGTTGTCCACAGAGCATTTTTGTAGCCGTCCTGCGATGGCAGTCTTCACGCGGATATGTCCGAATAAA